ACTTAAACAACATTATAAGCAACCTAGACTTAATAGACATATATAGCACGCTCCATACAAAGCAGCAGAATACAAAGTCTCAAGTACACGTGGAGTATTCTCTAGGACAGGTATATGTTAGGCCATAAAACAAGTCTCAATACATTTAAAAAAACGAAATTATACAAAGTATGTTCTCTAATCATGATGGAATGAGTTCAAGAACAAAAAATTTTTTGGAAATTTACAAATATGTGGAAATTAAATAACACACTTAAAATTTATTTTTTTTAAATATTTTTATTGATTTCAGAGAGGAAGGGAGAGAGAGGGAGAGATAGAAACATCAGTGATGAGAGAAAATCATTGATTGGCTGCCTCCTGAACGCTCCCTACTGGGGATCAAGCCTGCAACCTGGGACCCTTCAGTCCACAGGCCGATGCTCTATCCACTGAGCCAAACTGGCTAGGAGGTTAAATACACTTTTAAATAAGCAATGGATCAAAGAAAAAAACACAGAGTAAAATAGAAAATATTTTGAGATGAATGAAATAAAAAACATGCCAAAAATTAATGCTGTAAAATCAATGCTTAGAAGGAAACTTATAACTACCTATATTAAAAAAGAAAGATCTCAAATTAATAACCTCATCTTTCACCTTAAAATGTTAGAAAAAAATATATAAGAGCAAGATAAACCCAAAGCAAGCAATAGGAAGGAAATAATAAAAACCAGAGGAGAAATAAATGAAATAGAGAATAGAGAAACAAACAGAGCCCAGCTAGCATGGCTCAGTGTTTGAGCATCAACCTATGAACCAGGAGGTCAGTCAGGGTTTGAGTCCCGGTCAGGGCACATGACTGGGTTGCGCGTTCCATCCCCATTGTGGGATATGCAGGAGGCAGCCGATCAATGTTTCTCTCTCTCTCTCTCTCTCTCTCTCTCTCTCTCTCTCTCTCTCTCTCTCTCTCTCCCTCTTTGAAATTAATAAAAATATATTTAAAAAACAAAACAAAAAGATACAATCAACAAAACCAAAAGTTGGTTCCTTGAAAAGATCAACAAAATTGACAAGGCTTTAGATAGACTGACCAAAAGAGAGAAGAGAGAGAGAAATACAGAGAGAGAAAATTCAATTACTAAAATAAACAATAAAAGAGGGGACATTACTACTACATTAAATAAATAAAAAGGGGAAAATAAATAAGTGAATGCTAAGAGCAACTGTATGCAAACAAATCAGATAACTCAGATGAAATGGACACATGTCAGAAAGACACAAACTATCAAAACTTACTCGGGAAGAAATAATATATCTGAACAGACCTATAACAAGAAAAAATACTGAAGTTGAAATTTTAAAAAATTTCTACGAAGAAAAGCTCAGAACCAGATAGCTTCACTGGTTAATTCGACTACCAAGAAATAACAATACTTCACCATTTCTCCAAATATTAGAAAAGGAGGGATCACTTCCAACTCACTATGCACCCACTGTTATCTGTTACCAAAATCAGATAAAGATATTACAAGTAAATAAACTACAGACCAATATTTTTATGAATACAGATGCAAAAATTCTCAACAAATACTAGCAAATTGAATATAGCAAGACACAAAAAAGCACTTTACACCATTACCAAATATGGTTCAATATCCAAAAATCAAGCAATGAAATATGCCATATAATACAATAAGGACAAAAACCACATGATTACCTCGTAGATGCAGAAAAACTATTTAGCAAAAGCCTAATACCTTTTCATGATAAACACACACACACACACAACACACAATACCAACAAACAAAAAACAACAAAAACCCTAGAAATAAAAGGACACTGCCTCAACATGATACGGGTATCTATAAAAAAAAAACCACAGCTAACATCATACTTACTGGTGAAAGACTAAATCTCCCTCCCTGCCACCCCAAAGATCAGGGACAAGACAAGGACATCTGCTCTTGCCACTTCTACTCAACATTGTATTGGAAGTTATATCCAGGGCAGTTGGGCAAGAAAAGGAAATAAAAAAATATACATATTTGAAAGGAAAACTATTTCTATTTTCAGGAGATATAATCTTGCTTATGTTGAAATTTTTAAAGAATACACATGTACACAAAAACCCTCTTAGAGCTAATAAAAAAGTTGAGCAAAGTTATAGAATGCAAAAGTCAACATCCAAAAATCAGTTTATTTCTATACACTAACAATGAGAAATCTGTAAATAAAATTAAGAAAACAGTGATTGATATTAATGATTATCACCATAAATTACACAAAAGTGATTTGTGTTCTCTGTTTAAGGGGGCAAAAAAAAAAAAGCATGAAATAAATCTATGGGTTTTATGGCCAAAAATTGGGCACAAACTAAATACCCATCAGTAGGGAATCAGTAAACTATAGTACATTTAGTCAATGGCAGATTATACACACATTAAAAATGAAGGTTTATATCTATTATACATAGATATGTGTTGCACAGGAAATGTCCACAATATGTATTCATTGTTCTACATGACATAAAAAGGTATTTCATATACCCCATCTGTGTGTGTTTCTGTGTGACTCACCAGCTATCTACATGTTGTCAAATCCATTTCTTTGTCCTCTTACTCTATCTACCTCAGAGTAGCATATGATATAATCACTCATCTTTCTTCAAATGCATTCTCCTCTTTCTTTCTGAGACACCATATTTTCTTGTTTTCCTGCTGGTTCTTTCCTATCCAACTACCCTTCTGCTCTTTGCCTGACTTCAATTAATGGAATACTCTGTGGCCTGGTGTTGGGCTCTATTCTTTTCTCAGGATTTATCGTCTCCCTAGGTGATCTTATAGTGTCTTCTGGCTTTAAATACCACCCAAATGCTGATGACTTGACATTTTTATTTCCAACCCTGGCTTTCCTCCCTAGCTTCAGACTCTTGAGCTCACTGTCAATTTGACATTGATCCTTGGATATCTAATAGGTCTCTCAAATTTAAAAGGTCCAAAATAGTATTTTGACTGGTTGCCTTCCAAAATCTGTCTCTCCCTACTCTAATGCATCCCTGTGTATGAACTAGGTCTTGACTACCTTTTGTCTTTATATCTTATCCACATTTCCTCTTATTCAGTCTGCTTTAATCTATCTTTTCCTGGTTCTTAGATATACCAAGTTTGATCAGAACCTTTGCATTTGGTGCTCCCTCTTCCTGAAATTCTCTTCCTTCTGATTTTCATTTTCATACAGATCTTTTTTTAAAAATATATTTTTATGGCCCTAACCGGTTTGGCTCAGTGGATAGAGCGTCAGCCTGCGGACTGAAAGGTGCCAGGTTCGATTCCGGTCAAGGGCATGTACCTCGGTTGTGGGCACGTCCCCAATAGGGGGTGTGCAGGAGGCAGCTGATCGATGTTTCTCTCTCATTGATGTTTCTAACTCTCTATCCCTCTCCCTTCCTCTCTGTAAAAAATCAATACAATATTTTAAAATATATATATATATATATTTTTATTGATTTTTTACAGAGAGGAAGGGAGAGGGATAGAGAGTTAGAAACATCGATCAGCTGCCTCCTGCACATGCCCCACTGGGGTCGTGCCCGCAACCAAGGTACATGCCCTTGACCGGAATCGAACCTGGGACCCCTCAGTCCCCAGGCCGACGCTCTAGCCACTGAGCCAAACCGGCTAGGCTTCATACAGATCTTAATCATCACTTCCTTGCAGAGCCTCCTGATCACCATATCTAAAGTTGATCTGATCTACCAATAGCTCTCCACACCTAGTTTTATTTTGTTCATAACACTTATGTTTCATTATCTGTTTCTACTGAAATAGAGTCTCTATTCAAGAATTTGTCCATCTTTTTTTTTTAAAATATATATTTTATTGATTTTTTACAGAGAGGAAGGGAGAGAGATAGAGAGTTAGAAACATCGATGAGAGAGAAACATCGATCAGCTGCCTCCTGCACATCTCCTACTGGGGATATGCCCGCAACCCAGGTACATGCCCTTGACCGGAATCGAACCTGGGACCTTTCAGTCCGCAGGCCGACGCTCTATCCACTGAGCCAAACCGGTTTCGGCAAGAATTTGTCCATCTTATGGACACCTGTAACCAGAATACCTTTGAAGAGTTCTTGACACAGAATAGGTGCTCAGTCAATACATATGTGTGCATAGAAATAAAGTTTGAAAGGATATACACCAAACAGTTAACAGTGGTTACCTTTGAGTGAGGGATAGTAAGGAGCGTAAATTATGAATTGACTTTCACTTTCTACCCAGATATGTTTCAGATAGTTTTAAGTTATTTGATATAAAATTGTGTTAACAATTATAAAAATTAATAAACACATTTTCAATTAGAAATATATGATTGATAATGTTTTTAAAATAGCTATTTATTTTTTCTATCACCATTTTACACCCCCCCCATACCCTCCTCTAGCTCCCCCCGCCAATGTTTGATAAAGTTTTGATGCTTACATAAATGGTTTAATTGAAACCATTTACATGGGATACTTTCTTCATGATGTTAGGTAAGTAACATGTTACTATATCTAGTAAAATAGCTATAATTTTGTAAAAGCACTGAAACATGAAGCCCCAGAAACATTTCACCCAGTTCTCTTTCTTTGAACTTGACCACTGTATCTCTTGTAAATCATTTAAATTGATTTATTTTTCAAAAGGTAACAGATCAAATCATTGGCTTGATAATAACTTATCTTCATTTGTCATTCAATTATTATGTTTTATATCTCTATTTAATATGTTCATCCTGAAAAGGTTTATTTGTTTTTTTTATAAGCATACAAACCTTGTAATATTAGCTGTCATTCCCAGGTCTGAACATTTAGTCAACATGTGTTTGAGAGACCTTCAACTTATCAAGTATTGCAGGTCTCTGATTGTTTTGGAACGTCTTCTGATACCTGTGGACTTAGTTCAAGGCCAGTTTTTTTTTCTAATAGGATGAACAAATGGTTAATTGTTTGCTTTGGTCACTCAAGTGCAAGATTTTACCATGTATAAAAGTCTAGCTGCAGCTTCTGCTCAGTTACATCCTTACTTTTCTATTCAGATTCTCCTCCTGGAGGTTTTGCATTAGATTTGCAAAATGATGAGCATATCTTTGATCTGGGGGATTGTGGTAGCAATCTGCTGTTGTTTGTGGCTTATTCTTGGAATGAGGAGAAGGTAAAAAAGTTTTATCTTTAAATTGCATCTAAATTCATTCAGTTAATGTTCTTTTACTTTCATTGTTATACAATAAATTTGACTTCCTGTACTTACATACACTAACATTTTCTTCTCAAATTAAAACATTTTACTTTAAATTTTTAGTGGTATCTTTTTAATTATATCTAACAAGATAAAATGATAGTTTTCCTTTTAGTTTTGGCATACCAATGGCAATGCAAAAATGTACTAACTTGTTAAACATAACTGACAGCAATGTATGAGATTTCTGTATTTTATATGTGTATATAAAGAGGAAATCTGGATTAGTGAGGATACAATGGTAAGTGGGATCTGCCATGAAAAGGACTTCTATCACGTGCTTCAAATAAGATGCTCTGACTAAATAAATATTCTCTTTTCAGCTAGTTCTTGTGCATGGTATAGACTCAGCCTAAGTTTAGACAAGAGCACAGAGTCTGCATTGATCATTCTACTATATTTTTCTTAGTAAAGATATTTGACCATGATGGATTAAGAAACTGCTAAATGTATGTGACATCGCTTTTATTTTTGTGATTATTTTTATAATGGGTCCAAGAATGCAAGAAATACGAATAGAGTCAGATGCATAGCCGTAGTTTAACTTCTGATGGGCTCAAGGAGTATTTTTGGGGATATAGGGGAGAGTATGTAAATATTCTCTATGTCAATCTCCAAAAGATAGAATTGCCCACAGCATATCTTCAGCTATGTAGTGTGTTATGTGTTGTATACCTTTAGCAAGTATTTTTTTGTTCCTTAAAATGCTTTAATTCAGGCCTGATAGTTTCTAGGTTTTTTTCTTTTTTGTTTTGTTAAAATATATTTTTATTGATTTCAGAGAGGAAGGATGAGGTAAAGAGATAGAAACATCAATGATGAGAGTGAATCATTGATCAGCTGCCTCCTGCATGCCCCCCACTGGGGGTCGAGCCCACAACGCAAGCATAAGCCCTTGTCTGGAATCAAACCAGGGACTCTTCAGTCTGCTTACTGACGCTCTATCCACTGAGCAAAACCAGCTAGGGCCATTTTTTATTTTCAATTACAGTTGACATGATTATATTAGTTTCAGGGATGTTTATATCCTTAATAAAAACACTTAGAGTAGCATGAAAGACTATTGAATTACAATTGATGATTCTGTTAATACAAATCTTACTTAATTTTATAATAAGCTAATTTCTCAAATGAGATTCTCCTTATCTTTAATGATCACCATGGTATAATAGCTTTAAATGATGAAGATTGTGAAAACTCTAATTCTGTAATCTTTTCTGTTATTCAATATTCTATATCTTTAAGGAAAACAATCCAATACTTGGTCAAATGACAATTAGAAAAAATATAAATGCTAGAATGTAGGTTGATCTCTGTACTGAGAGCAATCATCTTGTTGGCCTTGTTTAGCCTTTGATCCTCAGTACTGGGAAAGTGACTAGCATGGAGTGGGTATTCAGTAAGTGTTGTGGAATGTAAGCATGGATGGATGGGTGGATTTGGTAACCATTTTCACCAACATGTCATCTTACTAGGTTAATATAAACTCATTATTTTAGAGGAAGAGCAGGGCCCCCATCAACACTAAAACATAGCTATAAACTGTAGTTTTGAAGTTTGAAGTCAGTAGTATAAATTTTAAAAACCTGGTATAAACATAAAGCTGTGTACTTTTCCATAACCATCACACTGTTGTGCCTTACAGAAAAATGGGTGAACCTCCTCTGGAGAATGGGCTGATCCCTTACCTGGGGTGTGCTCTGCAATTTGGTGCCAACCCTCTTGAGTTCCTCAGAGCAAACCAAAGGAAACATGGTCCTGTTTTCACCTGCAAACTGATGGGAAACTATGTCCACTTCATCACAAACCCCCTGTCATACCAGAAAGTGCTGTGCCATGGGAAATACTTTGATTGGAAAAAATTTCATTTCACTACTTCTGCAAAGGTAACCACTTTTGCATTTATACCGCATTTATACAACATTCTGTTTATTTTCTACTCTTTAATATGTCACTCTACTTAGTCATTTTGAGGAACAAGGAGAGTCTTATAATTAAGTTAGATAGGACCTCTTGGTGCTAATAATTTAAAAGTTGAAATAGGTATAGATTTGTAATTTCTTAACCAGCTACTGAGAGTGAAATAAACATTAAATATTTTACTGAGACAGATGACACTGTATAAGTAAGACATCACAAACTCACTCATGTCAACCATGTCTATACAACTCCCAGAATGCATGTGGTGAGAACTGAACATGGAACAATAGTTTTGCCACACTCATGCCATACCTTTGTTTAATCTTATTAAGGAATTGACCAGATATATTGGCATCACTTAGATGTAATGTAAGAGGCTTTTTTTTATAGAGAAAACAATTTACGAACATTAACTGAGTCCCTGCAAAGAAATATTAGACATGGTGTCTGCCTCTAAGTAACTTGAAGTCTGGTTAAAACTCATCTACAAAGACTATAAAAGAGAACTAATGATTAAAAACCATTATTGATTAGTACCAAATTAACATGCAAATAAATGCCCTATCAGGGGTCCTCAAGCTTTTTAAACAGGGGGTCAGTTCACTGTCCCTCAGACCGTTGGAGGGCCGGACTATACTTTAAAAAAAACTATGAACAAATTCCTATGCACACTGTACATATCTTATTTTGAAGTAAAAAAACAAAACGGGAACAAATACAATATTTGTATTTGCATGTGGCCCTCGGGCCGTAGTTTGAGGACCCCTGCCCTAGATCAGTGGTCGGCAAACCGCAGCTCGCGAGACACATGTGGCTCTTTGGCCCCTTGAGTGTGGCTCTTCCACAAAATACCACGTGCGGGCGCAAATGTACAGTTTGATTGAAACTTCGTGGCCCATGCACAGAAGTCGGTTTTCGGCCTGGGCGAGTCTATTTTGAAGAAGTGGCGGTGGAAGAAGTGGTGGGGTGGACATATAGAGAGGATGAACGAAAGGAGATAGACGAAACAAGTATACAAGATGAGTGTGGACGGGAGAGTTGGAAGGGGTTGACCTCGGCGAACGTACCTCAATCAGATTGAGAACGTTTTTAGCAAAGGCCAGCTTAGGCGTACCCTAATTAGGTTAATAACAATGTACCTACCTATATATATAGTTTAAGTTTAAAAAAATTGGCTCTCAAAAGAAATCTCAGTCGTTGTACTGCTGATATTTGGCTCTGTTGACTGATGAGTTTGCCGACCACTGGGCTAGACAATAAAAACAAGAAATAGAGCGGTGGAGGGAAGTTTCACTGAGGAGCTGGGGTTTAAACTTGGCCATAAAGAAAGGGTACGATTTGGCCATTTACTGGTCAAATGTTATGAAACTTGGTATGTGGAGAGGCCAATTTCCATGCCCCCTTTTTAAAAAATGAAACTTTCCCAATTATGAAAGTACCTAATTTGCTTTTCAGCCATTTACTAGCACTAGGTCAGGTTTAATTTCTTTTTTCCCCACACGTTTTGTTTATCGCCAGGCATTTGGGCACAAAAGCATTGACCCAAGTGATGGAAATACTACTGATAACATAAACAAAGCTTTCATCAGAACTCTGCAGGGCGACGCCTTGAATTCCCTCACGGAAGCCATGATGGAAAACCTGCAACTTATCATGAGAACTCCGGCTGCACCTGAGTCAAAGATGCCTCCCTGGGTGACAGAAGGGATGTATGCCTTCTGCTACCGAGTGATGTTCGAAGCTGGGTACTTAACGCTCTTCGGCAGAGATCTTATGGGACAAGACGCACAAAAGGCACTCATTCTAAAAAAACTCGACAACTTCAAGGAATTTGACAAAATCTTCCCGGCCCTGGTAGCAGGCCTCCCCATTCATGTGTTCAAGACCGCACACCACGCCCGGGAAAAACTGGCTGAGGGCTTAAGGCACGAGAACCTGGGAAAGAGAGACCACATGTCAGAACTGGTCAGGTTTCTGAATGACATGCTCTCCACCTTAGACGACATGGAAAAGGCCAAGACGCAACTCGCTGTCCTGTGGGCATCACAAGCAAACACCATTCCGGCCACTTTCTGGAGCTTATTTCAAATGATGAGGTAACTAGCAACTTCTCCTGTTCTTTATTTCTTTCCGTAGGAGGCAGAAGGTCAACTATTAAAAAGACATAAGCAGCTGTGACTGGTAAACGTGCCTTTTAGAAGCAGAGTCTCCCAGGGAAAGGAATGGGCTGGTGCAGGGTCCACTGAGGCCACCTGGGCCCAGAGCCCTTGCTCTTAACCCTAAGCTGTTCCTTCTTCATAATCATAAAAGTATATTTAAGTGATTACTGACTTCCGGACAAAAGGCCAGTGTTTTTTTTCACTCAGTCATTTCCGTCTTACTATTTATTTGACCAACTAAAATAGCTGTGGATCAATTATTCTTGATGGGATTTAGCTAGATTTTTGCCTTTTAAAACTGTAGGTAGCAAAAAAAGAAAAACAACTGTATGTAACACTTTATTTTACACAAAGATGATTTCCCTCCAAAGTCTTTGTTTTGGAATTTTGGCATTCAAATGGTTTATTGAATTATTTCAGTTAAATTGGATGTTTAGTATCACGTAGATACAAAATTACTACTCCCTAGGATCGGAAATGCCAAATTCCATTGATGGCTGATGTTTTTATGTGTGCAATATAAAAAATATTCTCAAAACAATTTCAGATTTAAAAACCCATTACCAATCTGTCTCAAGTGCTAAATGTCTTCCAGAGTTTTTACTTGAGAGGGCTCTGTCCTTACTGTAAATAAGGACACAACATCAATATGTCATGTGGGTAATGGCAGCCATTGTATGGCAACCTCACAAATACTTATCAGTCAAGCATTTCTGAGAGTCATTTGCTGCAATCATGTCATGTAAATTCCTTACCGGGGCTCTGAGGAGCCGGTCAATTTCCGTGCATGAAAATGAAGCAGCATTCATTTCACAAGTCAAAGTGCTAGAATAGTTATAAATGGAAAAGCTGTTGTTCTGCCTGAAGCTGTAGTACAGATTTTAGGAGTAAATTTAAATTTGCATTTACAATTTAGCCAGTACTTTAAATTGCTATGCTAGATGCAATCTGTCTACTCAGTTGCTATGTCAGTGACTAATTTGATCATTTAATCTTTACTAAAATCATTTATTCATAAAAATCTGGCCAAAGTTTTACTTCTACATAGCAAGGTCCTTTTAAGGAAATATCCATTTCCCACCTTCTCTGGTAGTTTCACCCATTTAAAAGATAGGGGAAAAGCAGAGTTTTTGGTCTAGAAAAAATTTATTTTATGTACATTTCTTTTCTCTTAACTTTTAATAGGAGCCCTGAAGCAATGAAAGCAGCTACTGAAGAAGTGAATAAAACACTAGAGAGTGCTGGTCAAAAAATCAGCTTAGAAGACCAACCTATTTGTTTGAATCAGATGCAACTGAATGACATGCCGGTACTAGGTACGCTTACTGTTACATTCACTTACTGCCTCCTACTAACAGCAATAGTCAGTATAGGTTATGCACTTGCCTGTTCAAGGCATTGTGCTAAGTAGTTCCCATGTGTTGTCTCTTTTGATCCTAGGATTAGGGACTGTTACTACTTCCATATAACAAATAAGGAGACCGACACTTAGAGGCTAAGCTGCTGTCTAGGATGGAATGGTGGGACCAATTACAACATTATTGTGGGTGGGACTCTTGACCCCACACTCGCAACCATTTCTCTGCACTTCTATACTCGCTCTTTTGTAATTGCTTTTACACTAATTTTACAGTTAATTGGGAGCACATCACTCATTTTCATGAAATCAAGAGGAAAAAAGCACCATCAAGAAACTACAAATAGATGCATGGGTTAAGTAATGGGACTGAAGTTTATTTTTCTTATTTTTGCTTCCATATTTTATTGAAACACAAAGAATATGCTTTTATAGTAAGAAAGACTTTTCTTTGTGTTCTTTTTGTCTAAGGAAAGAAACCAAGCTATCTTTTAGGGGCCGTGTGTGTTAGTGGAAGGGGTGGGGGGGCAAGAAGCACAGGTTCACAGTGGGCTCCCCAGGGGAGACCTCAGACACGTCACTTCCCTTCTGGGGCCCTCACTTTCCTCATTTGTAAAAGAAATGGCTAATAAGCTATTATTTTACACACAATCCTGTGAGAAGCACCCAAAACATGTCAATTAAAAGGACAGAGGCTGGAAGGCCAGGTTGGACCTTCTCAGTCGGTTTGGTATGTTTCAGCTGCTGTCAGGGTGGTCCTGTTTGTCCCTGACGTCTTTACCAGGGAGCAGGGCATTGTCACACATCATCAACTAGTGTGAAGCTAAAAATGGGTTCTTGTAAACATTGAATTGAAGCTGCATTAACCATATGGAAAAACATTTCTATATTAAAGTATTATCAGTAGATTAAATCCCCAAAGTGATGAACTTTGAATAATTCACAGAAAAGTGATTTGTCGATTTTCCCAATTGTATTAAATGTCTAGTGACATGTATAAATAAGAATATTTTTTCTATAAAATTATGAAAGTCTAGTTTCTATTCATCAAGATATCTTCTCAAAAGATTATTAACGCAGATTATCAGATTAAAAGATACATGCAGACAAAACTGAGTCGTTGATCACAGCATAGTGGTAACAGAAGAAAGTGGGAAATTTGTGTCTGGCCAGGTTCCCACAGTCTGTTTAGCTGCTAGAAGTATTTCAGACTCTATATTATGTGGCCTTTAAATACTTAATTTGTTCTTTCTTCTTCCCTCTCTCCCTCCTTCCTCCCCCAACTTTTCCTCGCCTCCTTTCTTCCTTTAAAACTATTTAGATAGTATCATCAAGGAGTCGCTGAGGCTTTCCAGTGCCTCCCTGAACATCCGGACTGCTAAAGAGGATTTCACTTTGCACCTCCAGGACGGTTCCTATAATATCCGCAAAGATGACATCATAGCTCTGTATCCTCAGTTAATGCATTTAGATCCAGAAATCTACCCAGACCCTTTGGTAAGTGCCTGCTCATCAAAGTACAATAGCCAGGTGATATCTCCCAGATGGAAATAAAGAGGAAATTACCATTACAGAATTGATTTAATTATGGAAACCCTAGGTCTCCTTTATTATGTCAAATATTCATATATTTTGAAAAGCCTAGACAATGGCCTGAATTCTTCATTTTTTCTGATATTTGTCATCACATAATCTCTGCTAGATTACATATGTAGCCATGATAATAAAGCTGCTGCCACAAGGCTGGTGTGGCTCAGTGGTTGAGCGTTGACCTATGAAACAGGAGGTCATGGTTCAATTCCAGGTCAGGGCACATGATCCCCAGTAGAGGGTGTGCAGGAGGCAGCCAATCAATGATTCATCATTGATGTTTCTGTCTCTCTCTCTCTCTCTTCTTTCCTCTCTGAAATCAATTAAAATATATATGAATATGTATGAATATCTATCTATCTATCTATACACACACACACACACACACACACACACACACACACACACACACACTCTGCTTTTCCTTGAAAAATGCCTGCTCCCAAATTGAGGAAATTAGAGGCTTAGAGACTAATAATAAATATACAGACTCTTCTAGTTTTTGAGCTGAACTCTCCTTTCTAGTTCTGCCTCACTGAGGAACTAGTCACCTAGGCAGGGCAGGAGGCATCATAAAGCTTTCTTATTCCCATCAGTTCTTGTTAAGCTCCGGTTCTTTATGGCTTTCTGATTCATGGTGGGGTTTTTCTTAAATTACTAATAAATTGGATTTAAAAAAGAAAATTATCCTTTGGAGTTTCCAGATCAAGAAAGAGATACATTTATTTAAAACTAGCTTATCGGTTTGTTTTCTTTGTATTCTCATTGCAGACATTTAAGTATGATCGCTATCTTGATGAAAATGGGAAAACAAAGACCACCTTCTACAGCAATGGACTCAAATTAAAATATTACTACATGCCTTTTGGGTCAGGAGCGACGATATGTCCTGGAAGATTATTTGCTGTCCAGGAAATCAAGCAATTTTTGATTCTGATGCTTTCCTATTTTGAATTAGAGTTTGTGGACAGCAATGTTAAATGTCCTCCTTTGGACCAATCCCGTGCAGGCTTGGGCGTTTTACCACCATTAAATGACGTAGAGTTTAAATATAAATTCAAACATTTGTGAATACACGGCTGGGAGCAAGAGGAAATAAGCTGATGTGACAGCGTGTGCAATGCCACCACTTCCCCGTCCACTTGGACAGATGCATGTAGTGGTGTCGTGCTGGTCATCGGTGCTTGCTTGTGAATCCTAACATTTTGGTGATGGTTTCCAGAAGCTATCTCAGACTGTGTTAATGAAAGAATCTAGTTTCCAGAAGCACACTGATGTTTTCATTTGAATAAGTTAATGAAAGCTCATGTAGCCAAGGACTAAACTTCATTATTTTCAGAGGAAAAAGTCTTTTGTTTTCCCAAATGAAGGTTTTCCAATTGGCAGAATTTTTTTCCTAAGGAAAGTGCTTTTATAAAAACCATCCAACAATTGTGAAAAAGTTATAAATTCACGTTTTAGTGAAACTGCATCATTTTTTGACTAGATGTGGAACTCTTCGGGTGTAGATGTGTATTATAAAGGATATTTTAAAGGATTATGTTTTTTAATGAAAAGAACATGTTTTTAAGTTTCCTTAGATCCAGTATTCAGGAATTTTAAAATAATGATCTGTTGTCCTGATAACATTAAAATGGCTTTAATGTTTTCCCTTTTTATTTCAGCTACTCTTTCTAGAAAATCTAATGTCTATGTCAGGTTTCAATTATTTTATTTATACTTTCATTTGATTCCATGTTAATGAGAAGATTTTATTTTCCAGAGAAGGGAGGTTTTCTGGTATTACTAAACATGCATCAGTGAAAAGAGTGAAGCTCTCATGTGATGTTTTTAAAATTAAAACTGGATGAAAATGACCATTTAAAAGCTTTGGATATGAAACATCAGAAGAGTTTGTGACTTCACACTGTATTCTATTTAAATAAATTACTTTTTTTTAATCTTTAAATGACTTTTAATTGAAAGAAAAATAATTTAAGTCCATATGATAGTGTTTAACTACTGTGTACAACAATGCTTTGGTAAAATAGTTTAAGTATGGGAATTATCAGCTGTAATATTTTTATTGATATTCCTGTATGTATTTATATATCAATTATATTTACCTTTCTCTTATACTACAAACATTAAGAAAATATTGTAACATTTGGTAATTTTGAAATGATTCATCACTCAGAAATAAAAGTGTGAATGTGCATGCTTAAACATTTTTTTGGAGTAACCAAAGTTTGTTCCAGTCAGAATTACAGCAGTAAGGGACGGTAGGGGGGGGACTTTATTAAAAGTATGTATAAGAACTAAAAAAGGCCCAGTCGGACGCTGGCCAGGTGGGTTAGTTGGTTGTAGTGTCATTCCATACACCAGAAGGTGGATTCCCCATCAGGGCACATACCTAGGTTGTGTGTGTGATCCCTGGTTGGGGCGCATATGGGAGGCAACTGATTGATATCTCTCTCCTTTGCTCTTTAGTGTCTTCTCATTGCAGTAGGGCCTTTTAGTGTCTTCTCTTGGAGTGCCTACTCTCAGTGGCAAAAAAGGAGATGATGCATTTGAGAAAGTTTCTCTCCTATAATGGCTTGCAGAAAATCCTCATTGTACTGGACCTACCTCCTCGTTTCTTCCCCCTGTGGAGACAAGATCTGGCCTGTGGGCCATGCAGAGAAGAGCCCAGTCTGTCTTCACCTGTGCAAAGGGTGAAGATGGCTCTGGAGTCTCCAGTCCTTGGAGCCAGCACATCATGGCTCTTCTCGCTCTTGTCTCTCTGCCTCTGTTTAGTGTCCCATCACCCCCACACCCACGTGCCTGCCTCAGGTCCCTGGATTTCAGTATATTTCTCTGAGTCATGACACTCAGCCCTGCACTGACCATCTTTTCTTGGGGAGGGTACTTGAGTGAGGGCACAGGACTCCAAGCCTCAGAAGGAGTCTTGGGGTGGAGGACCGTTGGGTGAAGTCATGTGATGGTTGGTGGAGCAGGGTGGGTCCTGGTCACTCGGTCCAGTACCCAAAGCTCTGTCTGGGCTTGAGCAGCCTTCCCTACCCCCACCTACCCCCTCACTGCAGCACAGGAGGATTGGGACGCTACAGGCTGTGGTAGAGGAGGAGCTGCAGGCGTGAAAGGCCTGCAATAGCTGATTGCCACTGAGGAAAGGACTGGCCTTGCTCTTAAGTGGTTAAATATTCAGAATGTTTAAAACATTCACCTCCAATAAACTGCAACAATTTGGTTCATTATTCATCTCTTAGAAAAAGCAAAATAATCACTCACTCAAAAATCCCCATCGGACCTCATAAAATTCATTAAAGGTTTGTAACCTTGCTATTTCATATTACCATGGAATTATCGCTTACATAGGTTTTTACATCAAGAAAATTAAACTCATTTAGATGTGGTTTAAGAGTAACAAAATTCTGTTTTATAGTAAAATAGAGGCCTGGTGCACAAAAATTCGTGTACTGAGGGGGGTCTCTCAGCCCGGCCTGCACCATCTCACAGTCTGGAAGTCCTCAGGGGATGTTCTACTGATGGCTTAGGCCCGCTTCCCCTGGGAGGCAACCAGACGGACCAATCAGGGGATGGTGCCAGCCCACCCAATTGCCCCTCCACCGCTGTTGGTCATTGGCCCCCCACACCCACCCATCGCCATTCCCTCCCTTTGCCCACTGGCATGTGCCTTGGCTGGCCTGGCCCTGCCTGCTTGCTGGTCCCGCCCCCTGCCTACTGGTCATTCTGCAGTTCGGTCGATTTGCACATTATGCTTTTATTATATAGGATGGTTTGGAACTAAATTTCTGATGTGGTTTTCTAGTCTATTTCATAACTTGCTGGAGGCACCCATACGTATCTTTTTTAAAAAAGATTTTTTGATTTTTAGAGTGAGAGGAAGAGAGAGAGAGAGAGATCACCGTGAGAGCAAAGCATGGATCAGCTGCCTCCCCTACACGCCCTACCGGGGATTGAGTTTGAAATCCAGGCATGTGCCCCAATTGGGAATAAAACAGGCAACCTTTCAGTGCATAGGACAACTCCGAACTAACTGAGCCACACTGGCCACGGCCATCTTTGCATATATTTATTCTTGTGGACTAGGGGTTGGCCAGTGATAGAACTATGGGCCAAAGGTGCCCCTCCCACCTGTTTTTGTGTAGATGGAAAGCCAACTATAGTTTTCACATTTTTAAATTATTGGGGGGGGGAGGGGGCGGGGAGGGGAATCAAAAGAAGAATATGTCCTGACGTATGCAAATTCTATGAAATTCAGATTTCCACGTCCAGAAGTAAAGTTTTGTGGGGACACAAGCTCACCCATTTTTTTTAAATATATTTTTTATTGATTAAGATATTACATCTGTGTCCTTATCCCCACATTATCCCTTACCACCACCACCACCAACCCCCCACCCCGCCCCCGTTGTCCATGTCCACTGGTTAGGCCTAAATGCTTGCATATAAGTCCTTTGGTTGATCTCTCCCCCTTACCCCCACCCTCTCCTACCTTCCCTCCAGGGCCCGAGAGTCCAATCAATGCCTCTCCATCTCTGGATGAGTCCTTGTTCATCAGTTTATGTTGTTCATTATATTCCACAAATGAGTGAGATCATGTGGTATTTATCCCTTAAAGAATATCCTTCAGCATTTTATATAATCCTGGTTTGGTGGTGATGAACTCCTTTAGCTTTTCCTTATCTGTGAAGCTCTTTATCTGATCTTTAATTCTGAATGATAGCTTTGCTGGATAAAGTAATCTTGGTTGTAGGTTCTTGGCATTCATCACTTTGAATATTTCTTGCCACTCCCTTCTGGCCTGCATAGTTTCTGTTGAGAAATCAGCTGACAGTCGTATGGGTACTCCCTTGTAGGTAACTAACTGTTTTTCTCTTGCTGCTTTTAAGATTCTTTCTTTGTCTTTAGTCCTTGGCATTTTAATTATGATGGGTCTTGGTGTGGTCCTCTTTGGATTCCTTTTGTTTGGGGTTCTCTGCGCTTCCTGGACTTGTAAGTCTATTTCTTTCACCAGGTAGGGGAAGTTTACTGTCATTATTTCTTCAAATAGGCTTTCAGTATCTTGCTCTCTCTCTTCTGGCACCCCGATAATTCGGATGTTGGTATGTTTGAAGTTGTCCCAGAGGCTCCTTACACTATCTTCATATTTTTGGATTCTTTTTTTGTTTTGCTTTTCCGGATAGGTGTCTTTTGCTTCTTTGTATTTCAGATCTTTGACTTGATTCTTGGGATCCTCTCGTCTGCTGTTGGATCTCTGTATATTATTCTTTATTTCAGTCAGTGTATGTTTAATTTCTGATGATCCTTTTCCATTTTTTTGGCATTCTCATTAAGATCCTTTAAGGTCTCACTAAGTTCCATGGAGGTTTGTAGAAGATTCTTGAGTAACCTTATAACCGTGGTTCTGAACTCTATGTCCTCCATTAGTTTGCTTTCCTCCATTTCTTTCATTTGTGACATGTTTCTTTGTCTTCGCATTTTTGGCTGGCTGCGAGGAGCCACTGTGTCTATAAGAAGAACTGCTGTGCTGGAGACACCCTTACACGGTAGGACTTGCTTCAGTGGGGCTTTGGTGCTCACTGAGTCTGCTTCTTGAGTTTGTCCCTTATAGGTGTGAGGAGTTAAAATCTAGTATCTTAACCGGAGTATCCTGGCTCCTGGATCTCCAAGTCAACCACTGTGTGGGTCCACCCAGCAGGGACTACAGCAATATCAACAGATTTCTCCTCTTTGTTTGGAGTTTGGAAGTCTTGGAGCTCTCTGATTCACTGCAGTTTGTTAGGCTGCAAAAGCACAGGTGCCTCCTTTGTGCCGCTGAGCACAGCTTGGGAGGGGATGTAGTGGGGCGGGGTCTCAGCGAGTTCCCAGGGCGGGGCAAACAGCAATGGTGTTGTCAGAGACCCCCCCCAACTCCGACTCCGCCACTCCCCGAGTGCTGCGCTCCCCTACAGCAACAATGATCCCTGCGAGCAGCTCTGTGAGAAAGTCACCTTCGCTTTCCGACCCGCTGCAAGACAGTCCCATTTCTCCCCGTAGGAGCCTGGACCCCAGTGTCTCGCCGTATATGAGTTCAGAGCTTGTCCCCTTCTGATTGAAAAAAACCGCGCACCCAGGTGCGGCAGCCTCGCGCGCTCCCCGTACCTCTGTTCTTGGAGCCTCTCCCCTCCTACTCGGTCTCAATGGGCTGTTTTCTTTCCTTCTAGTTGTAGAACTTCCACTCGATCAGCTTTCCCGTGGTTCTGGATGATAGCTGTTTTGTCTTATAGTTGTGGTTTTAATGTTGTTGTGGGGGGCAGCACGTACAGGTTTGTACCTTATGCCACCATCTCGGTTCTCACAAGCTCACCCATTTGTTTGTGCTCTTGTCTAGGGCTGTTCTTGCAATGCAATCACAGTGGAGACCATGAGGTTGCAAAGCCTTTTAAAATATTTACTATCTGGTCCTTTACAGGAAATGTTTGCCAACCCCCATGGTATAGCAATCTCAAAGCCTATTTGATGCTATAATTTTATCAACTTAAAAAAATGCATTAGTGCGTGAGATCTCTTTTCCACCTTTTAAAAACACATGTGAGAAAATGACATTAAAAAAGTACAACACATGATTTTCTTGTAAACAACTTAGAACTTTTACTGAAGGCTGAACCTTTTATTTATGCAAGAGATCTCCATTTGAAACCAGGTCCTAAAATTAAGAAAAAATCGTAATAACCTGTTGTAGGATCAACTAGGCCTCAAAGATCATATATATATATAAATAAATTTACTCAGGGTTACTGTGATCCAGGCCCAGGCTTACTAGTAAACGTTTTGCATGTGTCATCTCATTTGCTCCTTATGAGTCCTTGGTGGCGCCTGTCACTATTATCACGTATTACTGAGGGGAGAGAGGGAACGCCAGAAAGGTTAAGTCAGTCACTGACCTAAGGTTACAGTGTTGGCAAGTGGCAGAGCTGGGAGTATTGGGATCCAGGCTGTACTGATTCCAGAGCCAGCATTCTTCACTCTGTAGAAAGTCCAAGTGACACACTATCTTGACTCCCGTCAATGAGATAAAAATCCATGATGTCATTTCTGTCCTATAGTCTCCACTGCTTGGGAGCGTCATCTGGCCAGAGGGCGAGGACACCATAGCTGCCACACTCAGCTGCTCCCAGTTGCCACGAAGCTGAGGACTCCTGCCTTGCAATGACTGTG